TGAGACCAGCCTGGTCTACATAGCAAGTTCCAGGTCAGCTGGGGCTACAGGGAGACCCTGTCTCAAAAAGACAAAAAAAGAGACTACACGGAGGGGCTGGAACAAAATCTCAGCAGTTAAAAGCACTGACTGCTCTTGCAGACCCGGGTTGGGTTCCCAGCACTCACATAGCACCTAACAACGGTCTGTAACTCCAGTTCCAAGGGATCCAACACCCTCTTCTGACCTCCACTGGCACTGTACAACACAGTGCACTTACATACATGCAGGCAATACACTCATACACAAAAACCTAAAAATTTTATATATATATATATATATGTCTTTTTGAGACAGGGTCTCCCTGTAGCCCCAAATGTACTGGAACTCACTATGTAGACCAGGCTGGCCTTGAACTCACAGAGATCTGCCTGCCTCTGCCTCCCAAGTGCTGGGATTAAAGGCATGCATCACCACGCCAGGCTTCATTATGTAAGTCTTCATTATGTAAGTTTTAAGCACAGAACTCAGGATATGAAAACAGTATTTAGCAAAATGAGGAACTGGTCCAGGAATTCCTAACTAAATAATTAGGAGGTAAGGGAGATGGGGAAGACAACTCTCCTAGGGAAAAAAGTCAAAGGAACATAAAGACCTAAAGTGAATTTATGCAAATTTAATAAATACATTACATATAAATGAGATCACTAATGCCTTTTTTGTATTTACAAGTAAGAATTAAGCCGTGTGTGGTAGCCCACGCCTTTAGTCCCAGCACAAAAAAGAAAAAAAAATAAGAATTAATAATAAGGAGCCAAGTACATGGTGGATTACAATTTGTCATCCCAGTGCTACAAAGGCAGAAGCAGGAGAATCAAGAGCTGAGGCCAGCCTGGACTACACAGTGAGAACTGTCTTTTTTACTTTTTTTTTTAATTGGTCTTTTTGAGACAGGGTCTCCTTGTAGCCCCAGCTGACCTGGAACTATGTAGACCAGGCTGGCCTCGAACTCACAGAGATCCCCCTGCCTCTGTCTCCCAAGTGCTGGGATTAAAGGCATGCACCATGCTGGGATTAAAAGGCATGGGCCACCACACCCAGTGAAGCAAACTGGCTTTTTTTCTTTTTTTTTTTTTTTTTTTTTTGGTCTTTTTGAGACAGGGTCTCCCTGTAGCCCCAGCTGTCCTGGAACTCACTATGTAGATCAGGCTGGCCTTGAACTCACAGAGATCCGCCTGCCTCTGCCTCCCAAGTGCTGGGATTAAAGGCGTGCACCACCACGCCCGGCAAACTGTCTTATTTTAAAAAAAGGGAATTAAATATTTAGGGTATTTATTGAAACATTCTGCTTCTTAGTTCCACAATCAAGTTCCTACACCCAGGAGCACATACACAAAATAAATCAATGTAATTTAAAAAATTTTTAAAATGTTAACACATTTCAACAACTTCTTGTACAAAGTGCTTTCATCATGGCCGCCTAAACTAAATGTATGACAAAGATAGGAAAGATCATGCTTTTTAGTGGTTTTAATTTGAATTATAATGTGCAAAAAAACACTGCTTTCAGTGTTATGATCTAATGCATGGAAATTCAACTTTTGAAAAAATATTTTTATTTATTTTTATTTTATGTATACACAAGTGTTTTGTCTGCATGGATGTAGGTGCATAACATGCATGCAAAGACCACAGAGGCCAAAAGAAGGCATCAGATTTCTTGGAACTGGAGTTACAAACTGTTGTTAGCGGCCACGTGGGTGCTGGGAACTGAGCCTGGGGTCCTCTGCAAAAGCAGCCAGTGCTCTTAGTCACTGGGCCATTTCTCTAGTTCTAGTTCAACTTTTTTTTTTTTTTGGTCTTTTTGAGACAGGGTCTCCCTATAGCCCCAGCTGTCCTGAAACTCACTATGTAGACCAAGCTGGCCTTGAACTCAGAGATCCACCTGCCTCTGCCTCCCCAGTGCTGGAAATAAAGGCGTGTGCCACCATGCCCAGCCCTAGTTCAACTTTTTAAAGGATTAGCTAGGTTAATTGCAAAAGGATACAATCGCTTCCCAAAAGTTGTCCAAAATGATCCTCTGGCTATCCATATACATCATAACCACTATGAGGACAATGCTCAGAACCAAGTAATGATTGAATTCTCATGTGGTTTTCAAATAACTAGATTATCATATAGAATGAGTTCTCTCCTCCTATACTTGTCGTTTTGTTTGTTTGGGGTTGATGATTTGGTTTTGCTGGGGTTTTGATTGTTTGGGTAGATGGGCAGTGCTGGGAACTGAACCCAGAGCCTTGTGGATGCTCTACCACTGAGCTACATTTCCAGCCCTTCCCATTCAGATTTCACCAGGCTAAAACACCAACAACTTTACAAGAATTCAGAAATGTTTTTGAAGCAATACATCCTGAACAAAATAAGCACACAGATTCTAAATGCCTTTTGGTCCTGTGTAAAATCCCAAGCACCATTACAGAGGTTTGATCTTTAACAAGACATTTTTAAAGCAGCCAACTACACGGTAAAGTCAGAGATATCACAAATATTGGCAGGTTAATTTAAGACACTAATCCATTTGAAGAATGGTAACTGTATTACAGATGTAAGCCAACCTCTGAAACATACTTGCTTTAACATAGCGATAAACTCTTGAGTACTCAGAACTAACAAATGGTAATGGAACTAGGTGTCTGGTACGGAAGAAATGTGAGGAAAATTACTTGGCCTTCCTTCAAAATATAGTTTCATTTCAAATATACAGTATTATCCATATGGATAACATAAACTTGATAAAGCAGGTAATTTACTGATTAGAAGCATTGCTGTCAACAATTAACTCTCCAGTGAGAATCAATAACCTTTTTCTTTTTTAAAAAAATATTTTATTTTTATTTAGGTAGGTGCACCCGTGTCATGTAATGCCTACAAAGGTCAGAAGGTGTCAAGTCCCCTGGAACTGGAGTTATAGATGGTTGTTAGTCGCCATGTGGGTCCTCTGCAAGTGCTCTTAACCACTGAGCCACATCTCTCCAGTCCCAGAGAATCAATCACCTTTTTCTATATTGACTCTCCATACATTTAACCAATTCTTCAACATCTCTAAAAAAGAGGCAGATGTACTTTCAAATATGCAGTCCCTCTTTTCCAACTTCTTTGTTCCTGCTCTCAGAAATCTAATACTTATAAATAGTAAATGGAGATTTATTTAACTTCAAGCATGTTTTCCTTAAATACATGAATGAATGAGGACTGAGGAGAAAAGATCAAGAATGAAGTACTTCTGGCTCCACTACAACAATCTGGCATGTCATTGAAAGATTATGTATCATTTTATGAAACCGATTTGGAAAACAGTCAAAATTTATCCCAAATACATCAATACATTAACTTTGCTGAAAGAAAATACACATGTAGCTGGGCATGGAGGTATACACCTGTAATCCTAACACTCAGGAGACTGGGGCAGGATGATGTGACTGGTCTCAAACAAAACAAAATGAAACAAAGCAATCTGATAAAAGAAAAAAAGGAAGAAAAAAAAATCACAAAAACAAAAGCAGTATAATTAAGGAACAAAAACAAGTAGTTGAAATGGATTACGTAAAAAGACAATGTCTAAAACATTGTTTCACTTTCTAACTAATCCTTAGAATGTGATACTATGAAATACATGAGTTTCACCTGTTTCCTGGCATTTAACTCCTAAATTCCTTGGGATCTTCAAAGATAGTTTTCTTTTTTCTTTTTTGTTCTTATTGAGTCAGGGTCTCCTGGTAGCTCCAGCTGACCTGGAACTCTCTATGTAGACCAGGTTGGCCTTGAACTCCAAAGAGATATGCCTGCCACTGCCTCCTGAGTGTTGGGATTAAAGGCATGCGCCACCATACCCAGCCTTAAGACATGTTGTTTTTCAATGGTAGGTAGTTGAATTAATGGTTGGCACCCCGAGGTAGCTTCAAGATGGGGGCTAGTCACGAGAAAGATCAAGGTGGGCTTAGGCAGTTGGAACTTTCAGTTTTACCTCCAAAGGGAGGTAAACAGGACCAAGTATCACCAATAGCAATTGGTGTAATTAATCATATCTATGTACTAAACTTCCAAAAAATCCAAAAAAGACAGAATTCAGAGAGCTTCTAGGTAGATGAATATATAAAGGTTCCTAGGGGGTAGAATGCCCAAAAAGGGCACCCATTCCCTCATCTCTCACCCATATGAATTGGTGTTTGTAATGGGTGTTTCCTTTGTAATATCATCTGAGGACCAGTTTATTAGAATCCTGATTTATAACCAGTCAGAAGCACAGGTAAAACAATCTGCGGTTTACAAGTGTTATCTGAAGGAGTAGTAGGGGGCAATCTTGAGGACTAAGCCCTCAACCTGTGGGACCTGGCACTTCTATCTCCAGGTAGTGTCAGAATAGAGTTCATTTAGAAGACAACCAGCTGCTGTCCACTAGAAGTGATTGCTTGCTTATTGGTAGAGAGAAATCCCCAGACTTTTCAAGGTCACAATGTCTTCTATGTTGACTGTGTAGTTGAAAACAGAGGAAAAAAAGATTGCTTTTCCAACCATAAGAACATCTTGTGTTAAAACTGAAGATCAAGTATGCTCTCTGCTGAAAAAAAAAGCACTGAAAACACTAGAAATTCCAATCAACTTTACTGAATCAACTGAACACTTGGCCCTACTTCCTAGAAACAGTATCTCAAGTTACAACATTAAAGCTTTAAAAATGCCCTATAGTTTCAAAAGAAATCATTTACTTATTTTTTTTAGTTTCTTTTTAGTAAGACTTCAAGAGGAGAAAAAAAAAAAAAGATTTCAAAAAGAAATCAACAACTTTTAGCCTACAACACAATATTTTTTCATTTCAGATATATACATTCACCTACCTAAAACTAACAGAACCTAGTTGTCAATACACAAGAATTATATTCTTCACAAAATGGGAGTTTGTCTTTCTTCCTTGCCCCAACATGTCTCAAGAATGACTATGCATCACCATGGGTTCTACTCACAGGGGTACATGGCACTGCTCAGGATCGGCTCGAGTCAGTTCTTCTTCTTCAATATCAGACTCCCCTCCTGAACTACTGTCCGTGACATCTGAATCAAATGCTTGTTCACTGCACCTCAAATTGGCTATGCCACTAGCGGAAAAGCTCTCCAATTCTTCTGAAATTGAATCGCTTTTCAAGAAGTTGCTGAGTCCCTCTGAACTGGTGGTCTCATTGGCAGCTTTTCTCAAAGCAGCTTCAGCCTTTCGGGTCAACATCAACTGGCTTCGGGACCTCAAAGATTCCAAGTTTGGCAGTTTGTTCAAAGTCTTCTCCAAAAATCCACCCAGCTGATGCTGTAAATGTCTCTCTACCTGCTTGGCTTGTACAACCTGTAAGCGCTTCTGTAACCTGCGGGCCCGAATCTCAATATCAGCCTGTCGCCTCAGTAAAGCTGTTATCCTTGTGTCAGAATCTAAAGCACTAAAAAGAATGGAAGACAGGGGAGATTTTTTGACCTCTAACTTGACAGTTGTCAAGTTAGAGCTGGAGTCTGTACAAGGTGATAACCTACTGCTTCCTTGAAGTGCTGACGGTTCCATGGAATTGACAGAAGATTTGTTTGCAGTGCTATTATTGCTATATAGAGTTGTGTGTTCTGTATCAAGGCTTCTATGTGGAAGAGTGCAATTGGTCAAAACACCTTTCAAGTCCCCAGAGTCAGATCCCCCTACTTCACTTCCCTGCAGAGCAGATGAAGAAAGAGCCCGTTTTCCCCCATTGAGGGAACTGGAATTGTCATGATCAGAATGTGCTGAACTTTTAGTCAATTTCTTAGCCAACCCATTTACAGGCGCTTGTGGCACAGCTGTCTGACCACTTGTATTCATGGTTCTAAGATTTTCTAAGGAAAACTCCAAAACTGGCTGTCTTCCCAACAGCTCAGCTCGGAGTTCATAGGACTGAGATAAAAGAGGATGAGATTTAAGGACTGCCTGCTTGCTGAAAACCCCTTGCAATTTCAAAGACTCCTTTGAGGGAACAGATGTTACATCAGAGCAGAGATAAGATGCCACCAATGGTTGCAGCTTTCCCAAGTCTTCCTTGGTAGGATTATTTCGGAAGTCTAGACTGGGATCCTCTGTAGTGATGGCTTTTCTTTTGGTTCCGTTGGCAGCAATAAGGATGCTGGCGTTGCCGTTATTTTCGGCACTGCCAGGAGATAAGGTGGAGGATGGGGGAGCCAGTTTGAACCGGATGTGGTGTGCTTCAGCTGCTGCGTCAGTGAGAGCGGGCGCCATCGCAGCCATTCAGCACAGAGAGACAGGAAGTCCAGCCTCTCCTGGTGCTGAGGCCAGCTCCACAGCCCCTTGCTGCCTCCCCTGAGAACAGACTGAAAGAGAAAAGAAAAAAAGGATGTCAGAAATATAAGTACACTCAAAAACAAACACACGTTTTTTAATAGAAGCACCACTTGAAGCTATTGCCTAAACTCTGCCTCCAAAAAGAAAACCGTAGAATCATTCTGGAGCCTCAAGTTGTTTTTCATCTGGGGAAAGAAGAACACAATCCTTGCACAAAAAGGAATTTTACTCTTCTTGTCACTTGCCTAACCATCGATTGAAAATTGTCAAAATAGAAGTCCCATTCTGAAATAATGTTTATAATCATCTGCATCTAAACTATACTATACTTCTTGAAATCACTGGATTTAAATATATAGTATTAGAAAAAAATTAAGAAAATTGTGCTTACAAAAAAAGTGCATGTCAAATATCACAGGTCTGTGGATTTTTCTCACCAAGAATAGTTTTCATAAGCTTCTCTACAAAGAAACTTTTGACTATACTATCAGGCTAACTGTATCACACTATTAATACCAATTTGTTTCATCAATTTTCTTTTCTTTCAGGCTGCCCATAAGGTCCTGTCTACTGGCTCTTTACATTCAACCTAAATCTGTCTTCAAATTAACTGCCCAACATACTTCTTTCTTTCCCTTTACCACTAAACTCCTCAAAGAACAGTTACAGCAAGGCACGGTGGCACACACCTTTATTTAATCCCAGCACTCATGAAGCAGAACTGAGAAGATCTCTGGGAGTCCCAGGCAGGCCAGGGCTACATAGTGAGTCCCTGTCTCAAAAAAGTTACAAACAACTGCCTCTACACTCTTCACTCCTCTGTCTATAACCTAGATTTCACCCCTATCATGCTGGCAAAGTTACCAGTCATCTCATTATCACATGAAGTCCCATTTTCACTTCTCCCTAAGCATTAGGTAGTGCTAACTTTCCTAATATCCTTGGCATTATACTTGTCCTGTTCTCTTCCTCCTGCCAACCTCCTAAAATGCTGAGACTGCCCAAGATCCCTTCCTTTTGACCTTCTCTTTCAACTCATTCACTTGGCAACAAATAGAAGTATGAGGACTACTAACGCTCAGAAAAGTTTTTCTGAGCTGGACTAATCAGCATTCTAATCAAGCCCCTGGAAACTCAGAACTCACTTTTTGCTTCCAATTTGCCTCTTCCTTCCTCATCCTATCTCATTTTCTTGGTTAATAAAATTTTTTATTTAGTAATTAATCAACCTACCTCAATTAATTACCTCTTCTCGCTCTCTCGCTCTCTCTCTCTCTCTCTCTCTCTCTCTCTCTCACACACACACACACACACACACACACACACATATTTATCTGGTCTGGAAGCAAAGAGAAACCTATATAAAGGACTAAACTAGCAATATTTATTTTTTTAAAATGCTCTTGGTGTGTATGAGTGTTTTGCCTGCATGTTATGTAAGTGTACCGTGTGTGCACAATGCCTGCAGAGTCCAAAAGAGGGTGTCAGATTCCCTGGAACTGTTGTTAGCTGCCATGTGGGTGCTGGGAATTGAACCCAGATTCTCAGCAAGAGCAGTCAGCTCTTCCAACTGCTGAGCATCTCTCCAGTCCCAAAGCCTGTTATTCTTAAACTATGGTCTCTGGACTTCTGAGGATCTCAAAGACACTCCCACCACCGTGTGATTGCAGGCACAAGGGTGCCTACAGTACCAGTGTGGCGGTCAGAAAATAACTTTCAGGAGTCAGTTGTCTCCTACCATGAATTCTAGGGATGGAACTCAGGCTATCAGGCTTACAAACACTTTTACCAAATAAGCCTTTCATAAGATTATTTTGGAAGCCAGTGTTTTAATAGTAATTCTAAAACACTTGCCTTTAAAATTTTACTGTATTTATTTTTATGCTTATATATTTATTCATAGAGAGGAAGGGGGTTGTACAGCATGCTACAAAATATGTGTGGAGGTTAGAGAACAACTTACAAGAGCTGATTCTTTTTCCACTACATGGGACCCAAGGATAGAACTCAGGTGATCAGGCTTGGCAGCAAGCACCTTTACTGGTTGAGCCATCTCATAGTCCTGCCCTGTAACTGTTGACATTTGCAATGAGGGTATGAAAACAGGTACAAGCATCACTGCTGGTATCTTAGAACAATCAAGGCAGTGGCACCAACAATACCAGTAGTCACTGCATTCTTCACTCACTTGCAGCTTAAAAATAGAAAGTTAATTACACTTAAGATGTTCTTGGGCCAGCGAGATCGCTCAGTAGGTAAAGGTCCTTGCTGCGAAGCCTGACCATTTGCGTTTGAGCCCAAGAACACCCATAAGGTAGAAGGAGAAAACCAACTCCCACCAAGTTGTCCTTTGACTTCCAAACATGCACCATGGCATAAGCATACACACACAGACACACATGTAACATAAGTTCTTGATTAAACAAAACAGTAGACTACTGATTTCATTAAATCTCTATCCAAGAATACATTTTAATAGTCTGTGTTTCATGAAACACTGGCTTTAAGAAGTCTAAAGAGCCGGGCTTGGTGGTGCAGCAATTTAATCCCAGCACTCTGGAGGCAGAGGCAGGCAGACCTCCGAGAGTTCAAGGCCAGTCTGGTCTACATATCAAGTTTCAGGCAAGCTAGGGCTATAGGGAGACCCTGTCTCAAAAAGACAAAAAAGACAAAACAAAACAAAAACAAAAAAGCCCAAGAAGTCTAAAGAAAGCACTGATACAAAAGCAAGTTGAACTAGCTTTCTTAATGGCAGAACAACTGACAGAGGAACTATGATTACTCAAGCTTGGGGGCAAGCACAGGAGCACAGTCCTGTATTATAACCACCACTGAGAAAAGTTTAAAGCAGTCCCAATGATGGAGAAATCTGAGGCCAGCCTGGGATATACAGTCAGATCAGATCCCAAAAAACTTGGGCAGTTAGCTAACAGACATTTTCTAGAAAAATGAACAAAATGAAACTTTCACTTCAAAGAAAAATCACTAACAGTATGTGATGGCAATGGTAAAATCAGAATCTTCAAGCAAAAATCAGTATTTTGAAAAAATTTTAGTAC